TGTGTGTTTTGAAATAAAATGCATGTATTTTTTCCACACATGCACCCACAGAAAGATAGGCACATATACCCATGTATGCTTATACAAACAATATTTTAAATATAAAAATTAAAAATTGATTAAATGTATACTTAAGATGTCCAGAACAGATGTAAAATACTCCTTAAAGTATATTTAAGACATTCATTGCCTTTCCACCAAAGCCGTCTTGGTAGAGTAACTAAGAAACCAAAATCAGGTGAAATTCAAAAACATTTCTTCAATGCAGAGAGCAAAATTGGGTGGGTGGACTTAGTGATGAAAAGAGCCAGCAGAGAGCACTGGAGCAGAGGAGTAGATGGGCCGTGGCCAGTTAGCTCAACTCGACTGGTTTAGCTGTCTAGTTCAACTTGAAGTATGAGGACAGGAGGAACCCGTGAGACGGTAGCAGACAGATTTAAGAGAACATGAAAGAAGTCTCATGTAGCACAGTTAAGAAAATGTGAGAGCAAGGGGTCAGGATGGCCCGGAGGGGTTGACGTTCTTTATATAATAGAATAGTGCTCGGATCAGTGAGCACTGCAGCCAGTACAGATCTCCGAAGCCACAGTCCGGTAAACTATCTCCGTGTATCTCCGTGAATCTCAGGTGACTAGGCACAGGGAGTTTTTAAAGTCACAAAGTGAAAAGCACAGCCAGTGCTGGGAAGCCCCTGACTCCTGGGAACTTAGTTCCTGGCGAAGCCCACCACTCACAGACCACGGCAAGGTGATCATTCCGTGCTATGAGTGTGCAACAGATTCCCATCTCCAGTTAGTCACACAGTTTAACCTGGACTTGATCTCAGAGCCACTGTACTAGTCATGTTGCAGGGATCTGCATGGACTCTAAATGATTTCTCTGTGCTTTTTCCAGACAGACTTACTGCTCCAGAATGGAAGGACTTTAAAGCTCCTGGGTCACATGTTACTCAAATCCTTTATTCCATAAAGGCATCATAAAATGATGATAATTTTCTCTTTCTGTAGGTAAAACTCTAAATTAACAAACAAAAACCCAGTTAAATAGAGTTTGTTGAGGTTTTGGCCTCACCCGTGTTTCTTCACAAGGCTGGAGGGTGAAGTTCTGCAGGACGCTGATGACAGCCAGTTTCATGCTGATGAGGGCAAACCTCATGCCAGTGCAGTTCCTGTGTCCACTCCCAAAGGGCAGGTATACATAAGGATCAACGCTGCCCTTGTTCTCCTTCTGAACCTGGAGTCACAGCAGGGATGAAACCGAGGCTATGGGACATAAAGACCCCAAGAGCTCCCTGTTTGGAGTTCTCACACCTCTCAACCAGGAGGGCGCAGCATACATTTGTGGACTTGCAACTGAACCCCTGCTGCAGATGTCTCACTGTAAGTACTGCAAGTCTCAGGTGGAGGGATGGCTCAGCAGTTAAGACCATTCTTGTCCAGCTGGCCTGGATGTGATTCCCAGCACAGGTCTCTGCCACCCTCTAGTGGCCTTTTCAGGCACCAGGTATACATGTGCTGCAGAGACATACATGCAGGAAAACACCCATACACATAAAAATAAATACAGATTTAGAAAAGAGGTGTGAGCTAAAGGTCTTTCTATGTCCCTTAAAATAGAGGGGCCTCTGGTGCTGAGCCGAGCTGAGCTGAGTGCTTTTAGACAGGAAAGGTATCTTTAAAATAGCAAAATTCTCTCTGGGATGGGTGTGTCATCTACTCTGAAAGGTCATAATTAGAGTGAAAAGTATGCTGCTGCCTCAACCTTCAAGAAGGCAATTTGCAATCAGTCAGACTATGGGAAAAGTTCCTAAAGCTAATGGCAAGTTTAGGGACCAGCACAGAATACATGAAAAGAAAAAAACAAGAATCCTACAACTGTAAATTCTCTATCACTTATATCAACTGCTGCCTAGTCACCAAATAAGACAAATGTGTATATTGCAAGATGTGGTGCATAGGTTAGTGTAGCAGGCTCCCAAATCATGACACAGAGACTCATTATTAGTTAGGAATGTTTGGCCATATTATACTTGTCCCACTAAATCTTATAATTTAATTTAAACTGTTTCTCTTCATCTACATTTTGCATGGGGCTTTTTACCTTTCTTTCATCCTGTGTGTTCTATACTCCTGCTTCTTCCCAATCTTGCTGCCTGGCCCCAGGCATCTCCCTCTCTCTTTGCATCTTTCTCTCTTCTCTACTCTGCCCCCCACCCGCCTCAGCCTTGACCCATGGTTCCTCCTCCTCCTTGTTCTCTCTGCCTGCCAGCACCAACCATCCGTCTACTGCTTAGCTATTGACCATTCAGCTTTTTATTAGACAAATCGTGTACCTTAGGCAGGCAAAGCAACACATCTTTACATTGTTAAACAAATGCAGCACAAACAAATGCAACACACCTATACATAGTTAAAGTAATATTCCACAACAGGCTAGTGTTTAAGTGATTAGTGATTCAAAATACAACTAAAATATACTAGGTTTTGAAAAACCTTTACAAACCTACCAATAACTACTTGAGGACATACTTCACTATTAATGGTGTTAATGTTAACATTTTGATTCTCCGAATGGCATGAATACCTTTTTTCTGGTCTCTTTTTGCAGCACAAATAATTATCACTTTGTAATTTTATAAGGTTTAATTCCAAAAACACATATGGATGCAAAGGGATGCAAACTAAAATATATACCATTTCTAGTAGGCTGCCTAGTTCCTAGTGAGGACCATTTCCCAAGATCTTTGCACCTTTCAGGGCAGAGCTCCTCAGGCTCTGGCCTGTACTCAGAGTCCTGATGAAGAGGATCGTTTGGTACCATAACTACAGTCCCTTTAGGAAAGAACATTCCATTGATTTCCATATCTTTCTTACCTCTCTAGGCTGTTAGCAGCTGGGTACAATCTGGAGCCTCCCTGAGAGAACCTGTCCAGCATACTGACTGTAATGCAATCTAGGGTCAGCAGAGGGCACTGACACTCCAAGAAATCATGAAAAGGATGCTAACTGCACTCAGGGCTTCAGACAGGAAGTAGTCTGATACACTATCAAAACCACAGGAAAGAAAAGACTCCCCTAGTTGACTCACACACCCACATACATTAATGGCATGCCATTGAACTGGACAGTAGAGCCATTTAAAGTAGAGTAGTGTTAGCCTACCGAGACCAGTGAAGGCCAGCCTAGTACCACAGGTGTTTGGGACAGCATCCTGAGGACATCAACAGAGATAACTGTCCAGACACCTAGGGAACTGGTGCCTATTCTCAAGTGCCACACAGGTTTTCTGGTGTCTCTTACTTGGTATTATTGTTATAACAGATACACCAGAGCCAGCACTGTATTAAAGATTGTGTATTTTTACAGGTCACATTCATCGCCTATGTCCCTCCCTTTGTTTCTCTTAGACTTTTGCTGGGTGGAAGTCAACATTCTCATTGCCAGTGATGAGACTTGTTCTTGCTAATCCTTTACCTCTGCCCTCCCTCTCTGGGAACCATTTTTTTTTTTTAAGATTTTATTTATTTATTATGTATACAACATTCTGCTCCCATGTATATCTGCACACCAGTAGAGGGCACCAGATCTCATAACAGATGGTTGTGAGCCACCATGTGGTTTCTGGGAATTGAACTCAGGACCTTTGGAAGAGCAGTCAGTGCTCTTAACCTCTGAGCCATCTCTCCAGCCCCTCTGGGAACCATTTTATCATCTTACTGGACAGAGCTCTGTCAATCTCATCCTGGAGTTTCTTCTGCACATCAGGGTCGGTGGCCAAGGTATACACGATGAAGGCAATGGAGGTGCTTGTGGCTTCATACCAGCAAGAATGAAAATAACCTACTGGGCTGTGATCTCCATGTCAGACAGAGCTAAAAGGAAAAGAACAGTGTAGATAAGGAAGATGAAAGCAGAACATCAGAGTTGAGAAGAAATTAAAATGGTGCCTCCAGCTGTCTCGGGAAGAACAGAGAAAGGCAGTCCAGAGTCACTGGGACTGAGTTCCACTCTGATGCCCACATGTGGCCCACTGCCCTGTTAGAGCAGACTCACCAGCACAAATGTGTAGTTCTAGCCACCACACATTGTCCTCATACAGACTTATAAGCATAAAAGCAATACTGTGGTTAATATTGACAGGATTAGGATTGCCTAGGAGACAAGACTGGGCATCCCCTTGAGGGATTATCTTCACGGATGTGGGAAGACCCATCTTAACTGTGGGTGGGACATTTCATGGCCTGGATCCTAAATTAGTAAAAAGACAACTGTGAGGTAAGCACCAGTGTTCAGCTGACTACTAACGCCATGCGACCATCAGCCTCTCTCTACTGTCCCCAGGACTTTAATGCCAAGACAGACAGCTAACTGTGGGTCAGAATAACCCTCTCCTGAAGGGGTTTTGTCACAGAGGCAGCATGAGTAAGTAGGACAAATACCTCACCTATTAGTAAATGTCAGATGATTTTCCTTAAAGGAAAAGAAAGTTACAGGATTTTGGCTAAAAATACAAAAACAAAAACAGGTGGGCGGGCTGGAGAGATGGCTCAGAGGTTAAGAGCACTGACTGCTCTTCCAGAGGTTCTGAGTTCAATTCCCAGCAACCAAATGGTGGCTCACAACCATCCATTATGAGATCTGGTGCCCTCTTCTGGTGTGCAGATATACATGGGAGCAGAATGTTGTATACATAATAAATAAATAAAATCTTTTAAAAGAAAGAAGTAAGTTGCCCGGCAGTGGTGGCACACATCTTTAATCCCAGCACTTGGGAGGCAGAGGCAGGTGGATCTCTCTGAGTTCAAGGTCAGCCTGGCCTACAAAGTGAGTTCCAGGACAGCAAGAGGTGTTACACAGCGAAACCCTGTCTCAACAAAAAGAGAGGTAGGAATATATTTTATGACAATGAATACAATTTTTAAAAAAGTGAAAGAACTAGGTCTAAGATGGGCATGGTGACAACACGCCTTTAATCTCAGCATTCTAGATGTAGAGGCAGGTGGATCTCTGTGAGTTCAAGGCTAGTCTGGTCTATATAGTAAGTTCCAGAACAACTAGGTCTACATAGAAAAGAAAGAGGTTTTAAGGAATGTAATGCCCATAATAATGTTCATGACCTCAGCTCTGACCGTGTGATTTGGAAATTAAATCACAGCACATTATAAAATTGTATGTCATAAAAATTTTAAGAATTCCAGCCCCAAAACAGTGCAGAGTGAGCTGCATTGGCCCCTGCCTTGGGGCCAACTTCCACCTGCCCACTCTGGGAAATCCCGCCCCAGGGTCTACAGGCAGACTGAATCGGTCCTGAAGACCCAGGGACCCTGACTCTGCTGAGATCGCTGGGCTATTCTGGCCCCCACAGAGTGCAGAGAGTGCAGAGGCAGTGCGGAGTGCAGCGTGCAGAGAGTGCCAGAGGTGAGCTGCTTAGGCCCAACTTTTGCCTGCCCACTCTGGGAACTCCTGCCCAAGGGTCTGCAGACAGGAAGACTCGACCCCTGAGGACCAAGCAACCCAGAGTCTGCAGACATCTCTGTGACAGTCCTGCTCTCGCCCACCTGGAGAGCGAGTGCCTCAACCTCCCTGCACCCACCTTGGGACCCATCAGAGTATTGGAGCCAATTGCACCCACCTGAAGAGAACCCCGGACCCATACACACCAGGAAAGGAAGTGACACCACCTGTACCCACTGGAAGAAGAGATGGGAAGACAACAATATAAGTACACATCCAACAACGGGAAAACCAATATGACACCACCAGAGTCTAGGGACTCTACACCAGCAAGACATGAACACCCCAACACAGAAGAAGCAGAAGAGAGCAACCTTAAAAACAACTCATGCAGATGATAGAGACCCTAAAAGAGGAAATCAGAAAATCCTTCAGAGAAATGAAAGAAAAGACAAACCAAAAGATGCAAGAAATCAAGGAAAGCCAAGAAAATACAATTAAACAGCTGAAGGAAACAGTTCAGGACCTGAAAACTGAAATAGAGACAATAAAGAAAACACAAACTGAGGGAATGCTAGAAGTGGAAAAGCTGAGTAAACAATCAGGAACCACAGATGCAAGCATAACTAATAGAATACAAGACATGGAAGACAGAATCTCAGATGCTGAAGATAAACTGGATGAAATAAATTCATTAAGCAAAGAAAATTTTAAGTCCAAAAAAACCTTAACACAAAATATCCAGGAAATATGAAAAGACCGTGAAAAGACCAAATCTAAGGATAATAGGTATAGAAGAAGGTGAAGAAACCCAACTCAAAGGAGCAGAAGACATATTCAACAAAATCATAGAAGAAAACTTTCCCAACCTAATGCAATCAAATGGACCCAAGAAACAAGCTGGGGTAGCTATCCTAGTATCTAAC